TTTCCACCCCAAACTCCCCGCACTCTACACTTTACACTCCACACTCCACACTTTACACTCCACACTCTACACTTTACACTCCACACGCTACACTCCACACTCCACACTGCAGACTGGTAACAGGGGAAATATGTACAAGACTGTTCAAATAAACTATTGCAGAAAAGTGTTCTGCGTGATTGCATATCCATGTGTTTTGACATCTGCGCCATTAACATACGTGTGAGCATTCGGGTTCGTGGGCTGCATCTTGTGTCTATAGAGGAAGCTGCAAAACCTTGTGTTTTTTGCTACGTAGATGTCGCAGTGTCTATAAGGGAAGCTGCAAAACCTCGTGCTTTTTGCTATGTGGATGTCGCAGTGTCTATAGGGGAAGCTGCAAAACCTCGTGTCTTTTGCTCAGTGGATGTCGCAGTGTCTATAGGGGAAGCTGCAACACCTCGTGTTTTTTGCTACGTGGATGTCGCAGTGTCTATAGGAGAAGCTGCAAAACCTCGTGCTTTTTGCTACGTGGATGTGGCAGTGTCATAGGGGAAGCTTTGTAGTACAAAGTAGTACTGGGAAGTGCTTTGTGCGAGCTTTGTATTACACAGTAGTACTGGGAACGTGTTTTGTGCAAGCTTTGTAGTACACAGTAGTACCGGGAAGTAGTTTGTGCAAGCTTTGTAGTACAAAGTAGTACTGGGAAGTGCTTTGTGCAAGCTTTGTAGTACAAAGTAGTACTGGAACGTGTTTTGTGCAAGCTTTGTAGTACACAGTAGTACTGGGAAGTAGTTTGTGCAAGCTTTGTAGTACACAGTAGTACTGGGAAGTGCTTTGTGCAACAAAGTAGTACTGGGAAGTGCTTTGTGCAAGCTTTGTAGTAGTACTGGGAAGACTTTGTGCAAGCTTTGTAGTACAAAGTAGTACTGGAACGTGTTTTGTGCAAGCTTTGTAGTACGTAGTACTTGCTTTGTGCAAGCTTTGTAGTACAAAGTAGTACTGGAACGACTTTGTGCAAGCTTTGTAGTACAAAGTAGTACTGGGAAGTGCTTTGTGCAAGCTTTGTAGTACAAAGTAGTACTGGGAAGTGCTTTGTGCAAGCTTTGTAGTACAAAGTACTGGGAAGTGCTTTGTGCAGCTTTGTAGTACACAGTAGTACTGGAACAAGTACTTAGTGTGCGAGCTGTAGGTAGTACTGTAACGACTTGTGCAAGCTTTGTAGTACAAAGTAGTACTGGGAAGTGCTTTGTGCAAGCTTTGTAGTACACAGTAGTACTGGGAAGTGCTTTGTGCAAGCTTTGTGGTACAAAGTAGCTCTGGGAAGTGCTTTGTGCAAGCTTTGTAGTACAAAGTAGTACTGGGAACGACTTTGTGCAAGCTTTGTAGTACAAAGTAGTACTGGGAAGTAGTTGTTGCAAGCTTTGTAGTACACAGTAGTACTGGGAAGTGCTTTGTGCAAGCTTTGTAGTACACAGTAGTACTGGGAAGTGCTTTGTGCAAGTTTTGTAGTACACAGTAGTAGTGGGAAGTGCTTTGTGCAAGCTTTGTAGTACAAAGTGGTACTGGGAAGTGCTTCGTGCAAGCTTTGTAGTACAAAGTGGTACTGGGACTGGGAAGTAGTTTGTGCAAGCTGTGTAGTACACAGTAGTACTGGGAAGTGCTTTGTGCGAGCTTTGTAGTACAAAGTAGTACTGGGAAGTAGTTTGTGCAATCTTTGTAGTACACAGTAATTAGTACTGGGAAGTGCTTTGTGCAAGCTTTGTAGTACAAAGTAGTACTGCGAACGACTTTGTGCAAGCTTTGTAGTACAAAGTAGTACTGGGAAGTGCTTTGTGCGAGCTTTGTAGTACACAGTAGTACTGGGAACGTGTTTGTGCGAGCTTTGTAGTACACAGTAGTACTGGAACGTGTTTGTGCATTTGTAGTACACAGTAGTACTGGGAAGTGCTTTCTGCAAGCTTTGTAATACAAAGTAGTACTGGGAAGTGCTTTGTGCGAGCTTTGTAGTACACAGTAGTACTGGGAACGTGTTTGTGCGAGCTTTGTAGTACACAGTAGTACTGGAACGTGTTTGTGCAAGTGCTGTAGTACACAGTAGTACTGGGACGTAGTTTGTGCGAGCTTTGTAGTACACATTAGTACTGGAACGTGTTTGTACGAGCTTTGTAGTACACAGTAGTACTGGGAAGTAGTTTGTGCAAGCTTTGTAGTCCACAGTACAAAGTAGTACTGGGAAGTAGTTTGTGCGAGCTTTGTAGTACACAGTAGTACTGGGAAGTAGTTTGTGCTAGCTTTGTAGTACACATTAGTACTGGAACGACTTTGTGCAAGCTTTGTAGTACACAGTAGTACTGGGAAGTGCTTTGTGCAAGCTTTGTAGTACACAGTAGTACTGGGAACGACTTTGTGCAAGCTTTGTAGTACAAAGTAGTACTGCCAACGACTTTGTGCAAGCTTTGTAGTACACAGTAGTACTGGGAAATAGTTTGTGCGAGCTTTGTAGTACACAGTAGTACTGGAACGACTTTGTGCAAGCTTTGTAGTACAAAGTAGTACTGGGAAGTGCTTTGTGCAAGCTTTGTAGTACACAGTAGTACTGGGAAGTAGTTTGTGCGAGCTTTGTAGTACACAGTAGTACTGGGAACGACTTTGTGCAAGCTTTGTAGTACAAAGTAGTACTGCGAACGACTTTGTGCAAGCTTTGTAGTACACAGTAGTACTGGGAAGTAGTTTGTGCGAGCTTTGTAGTACACATAGTACTGTACTGGTAACGTGTTTGTGCGAGCTTTGTAGTACACAGTAGTACTGGGAAGTGCTTTGTGCAAGCTTTGTAGTACACAGTAGTACTGGGAAACGTGCTTTGTGCAAGCTTTGTAGTACAAAGTAGTACTGGGAAGTGCTTTGTGCAAGCTTTGTAGTACAAAGTAGTACAGTAAGCTTTGTAGTACTGGTACTGGGAAGTAGTTTGTGCGAGCTTTGTAGTACACAGTAGTACTGGAACGACTTTGTGCAAGCTTTGTAGTACAAAGTAGTACTGGGAAGTGCTTTGTGCAAGCTTTGTAGTACACAGTAGTATTGGGAAGTGCTTTGTGCAAGCTTTGTAGTACACAGTAGTACTGGGAACAACTTTGTGCAAGCTTTGTAGTACAAAGTAGTACTGCGAACGACTTTGTGCAAGCTTTGTAGTACAAAGTAGTACTGGGAAGTAGTTGTTGCAAGCTTTGTGCAAGCTTTGTAGTACAAAGTAGTACTGGGAAGTGCTTTGTGCAAGTTTTGTAGTACACAGTAGTACTGGGAAGTGCTTTGTGCAAGCTTTGTAGTACAAAGTGGTACTGGGAAGTGCTTCGTGCAAGCTTTGTAGTACAAAGTGGTATTGGGAAGTAGTTTGTGCAAGCTGTGTAGTACACAGTAGTACTGGGAAGTGCTTTGTGCAAGCTTTGTAGTACAAAGTAGTACTGGGAAGTAGTTTGTGCAAGCTTTGTAGTACACACTAGTACTGGGAAGTGCTTTGTGCAAGCTTTGTAGTACAAAGTAGTGCTGGGAACGACTATGTGCAAGCTTTGTAGTACAAAGTAGTACTGGGAAGTGCTTTGTGCGAGCTTTGTAGTACACAGTAGTACTGGGAACGTGTTTGTGCATGTGTGCAATATCTAGACTTCCGCTTCTCGCCTCAGCAACTTCTTGCGTTCATCCTTGTTTCGGTGTCTAACTTTCCCCTCTCCCACCTGCTTCTCTCTCACCAATTTTCTGCGGTCACCTGGCTTCAATATCTACATGTTCCCCCGTTTCTCACAACACCTTCTTGCATGCATCTTGTCTCAATATCTAAATTCCCCCCCACCCTGTTCCAGCATTCATTTTCGGGTCCCAAAAATTCCCCCTGCGTCTCTCCACATTTTTTTGCATGTATCTTCATGTATCTTCATTTCGTTTCAATGTCTAGGCTTCACCCCTCATCTCTCAACAACTTTTTGTGCTCATCATGTTTCAATATCGAACTTTCCCTTCCCCCTATGTGCCTCTCAATTTCCTGCATCCATTTCGCTTCATACGTAGCCTTCCCCCATTGACCTCTCCACCACTTCTTACGTTTTTGTTGTTTCAATATCCGAACTTCCCCGGCATCAACAACTTCTCGCATGCATCTTGTCTCAATATCTAGATTCCCCCCACCCTGTGCCAGGTCCAAAAAAACGTGTACGGGTTCCAAAAAAGAAGGCGCCAAGGTCCAAAAAACACCAAGCCCAATGTGAGCGCCTATAACAATGGAGTTCCCCCCCCACCCTATGGAGGCGAGGTCCACGAAGCAGGCGCATGGGTCCAAAAAACAGAAACCGAGCTCAGAAACAATTAATTTGGCTGTCGAAAAAAAATTCCCTGGGTCCAGCACAAATATATACAGGTCCAAAAAAAATATCCCCACAGGGTCCAGAAAACACACAGGCAAGTCCCCCACATTTTTTGTGACCCTAGGTCCAAAAAAAATCCGGTTAGGTCCAAAAAACATGTACAGGTCCAAAAAAAGGGTGCCCAGGTCCAAAAAACATGCATCCCACACAATAACTTGTCACGGTGGGGATCACTCGTAGTAAGGTAATCCATGTGCTGATCCTGTACAGATAAATATAGATTTTGGATTATTGGATACTAGATATTAGATATTGGATAATAGATATTAGATATTGCATATTAGATATTAGATATTAGATATAGATATAGATAGAGATATAGACATAGATATAGATATAGACAAAGGTTTGATGATTTGTATATATATATATATACATGTATATATATATATATACATTTACATATCCTCGTACATGCACATGTACACAAGAAAGAGTGTGATATACGTGTATATATGAGTGCACATACACATGTGTGTATATACAAATATACACACCTATTATATTCATATATTATATGATACACATATTGCATATGTTTTTCTGGGCGAGTCCTGCGACTTTAGATATGCTCTGCACATTTTCATCCGGCGAAATCCCCCGGAGCACCTGCTGTCCATCCAGCTACAAAGATGCTGCCGCTGGCTGCAAGATGAATTGCCTGATAGACAGATCCAAATCTGAAATGAAGTCCCAAACTCGGCCAACCCAGTGAGTTCTTGTGTGATATGGAGAAGATTCTCGGCCCCTCAACTCTGAAACATATCCAGGTACAGTGTGTTCATAGTGTTTGTCAAGACATGATTTTGTTGTGCTCTTTATTTCTACTGTGCAGTTCTTTTAGCCAACAGCCACGCTGAAAACACGGTGCCTCGGTGGTTCAAACACGGTTATGATCCCGGGCACCTCAGCAGTGTCCTGAGCAGTGCTTCCTGTCTGATAAGTCCACTGACGCGATCCTGTGCTGTCCAACTTCATGACAAAAAGGTCGGAGTCACCAGCGCTACCAGCGCTACCAGAGCCATCCAGCGCACCATTCGTTTCACCTTGAAAGGTATCCGGAGTGAAAATGATGAGTCCAATGATTCTATGGTGAGGTCAAAATGCAAGAAACAAGCAACAAGAAAGATGTGTTATGCTAGAACATGGCTTGGCAAAGGCCCAAACATCCTAAGGTCCTGTATCCTGTTATCATCGTGGACTGCAACACCTCACCATAGCCATACCTCACCTGTGAGGAAGATGTTGCCAGAAGAATCGATTTGAAGAGAATTGACGCCATCAGCACCACTGGTCCCAGTCTGAAAGGTCCAGCTCAGTTGCTGAACCTGGAGCAAAGTGGACAGGACTACGTGTGGATTATGGATATGTCGAAGCTGATGTGAACTGGATACATGTGCCATAGAAATCCAAGGCTTTTAGTACAACGAACTGGAAACCAAGTCATCACCACTTTACCATTTGGATCTATTTGGCTCATCGATATCCATCGATATCCATCAGGAGAAGGAACACTGTCCTGGTCGACCAGCAGCATCTTTGGGGTCTGTTTGGAAACATGGAACTGACGAACTGACGGGCCGATGCATGGATGGTACGGAACTGGGGGAGTTTTTTTTGAATGGACCAACTAGATAGACATATACTTCGGTGCATGGATGGATTGATGGATGGATATCTAGCTGGCTCGCACCAACACAGATGGATATGTAGGAACATTGTTGATGCGATGGACAGAGAGAGAGAGAGAGAGATGAGATGAAATTAGATGAGATGAGATTAGATGAAATGAGATGAGATTAGATGAAATGAGATGAGATTAGATGAGATTAGGTGAAATGAGATGAGATGAGATTAGATGAAATGAGATGAGATGATGAGATGAGATGGGATGGGATTGGATGGGATAGGATAGGATGGAATGAGATGAGATGAGATGAGATGAGAGCACTGCTTCCAGTAGAAGAAATAGATGCATGTATGCATCTGTTTGTCTGCCTGTGTGTATGTATCTTCAATATATATATATATTTATATATATTAAATTTATACATATGTATCAGTCTGTCTGTCTGTCCGTCTGTCTGTCTGCCTTCCTGGCTGGCTGTCTGTCTGTCTGCCTTTGCGCATCTCAGCCTGTTTTGTCTGTGTGTCTGTCTTATCTGTCCTTCCTGTCTTATCCGTATTTGCCTGACTCATCTTTCTTATGTGTTTTATCTGTCTTTTATAGCTATCTCTATATTATCTATATATATACTATGCCTCGTTTCTCACCTATTGTATCTATCGTATTGTTATCTCATCAACATTTACCCAATTCATCTATCTATCTATCGATCGATCTCCGTATCTACATTCTGTTCTATCAAATCCTATTCAACCCTATGTATCCTATCTATCCCACCATGCCATGTATATATCCGGTATCTATACATCTCATGCGTACAGTTCGGTTGGACAGAAAGTCGAGGCCCAGCAGCCTGATTTTATTTTTCAAACATCCAACACCCCCTATATAATCCCCCTTGATCCCCCTTGGTCCCCCTTGGTCCCCCTTGATCCCATTTGGCACCTTCATGATATAGGCATCCTCTTCTCCTGCATTGCTGCCACCCAGGCCTCCGCTGGTGTAGCCGGCCAAAATGACGGCCTCGTCAGCGTCCAACACAAGGCGTCCTTGCAACGTATCCGCCGAACTGCTGCCGGTCTGAAAGATTTTTTGCACAGATGAACCGTCACTGTCCAGTTCCATGATAAAAAGGTCTTCCCCTCCTCTGTTGCAGCTTCCATGCCAGGCACTTGTGGTGGTTCCACCCAGAATGATGTTGAAAGTTCCGATTGCAAGTCCCCTGATGTAGTCGTCGCCTTCAGTGCCAGTCTGGAAGGTCCACTGCTGTGTGCCTGCACTGTTCAACTGCATCACAAAAATGTCCGTGCCACCTTGGTTGGTGTTCCCCAGATCTGCATCCGTCCAGCCTCCCACCAGGATGTTTCCAGAAGAATCAATCCCGAGGTGACCGCCCTGGTCATTACCAGTGCTACCCGTTTGGAAAATCCACTGGGAAGACCCTGCATTGTTGAGTTTCATCACATAAATGTCGGATTGGCCAGCATTCGAGTAGCTGTCAAGTTGGCCATCCGTCCAACCTGCCAAGACAATGTCGTCGGAAGCATCCAACTTGAGGTCCCATAGAATTTCGTCCGAAGTGCTTCCCGTCTGGAAGGTCCACTGCGTTGACCCCGAACTGTCAAGCTGGAGGACGAGAATGTCTCGACTATTCCCAGCATTAGAGAAACCAGGGAATGATCCCCATGTGAATCCTCCAGCGATAATATTTCCTGACGAATCAATCTGAACAGCATATAGATCTTCATCACTGCTAGTTCCTGTTTGCATCGTCCACATATGGCTGCCGACACTGTCGATTTTCATCACAAACATGTCATAGCTGCCAGCATTCACGGCATTTAGGTCTCCAAGGGTAGAGCCAACTACAAGAATATTGCCTGTGCTGGACTCAATCTGAACAGCCCGCGCATTGTCACCAGCAGTGGTTCCAGTTTGAAACGTCCAATTTTTGGAACCTGAACTGTCGAGTTTCATCACAAATATGTCGAAACTGCCAGCATTTGAGTTTCCATCTAAGCTGCCAAAGGTAAAGCCAGCAACTACGATGTCATCCCCAAGAGTCTCAACTGCATTGACATGTTCGGTCACGCTGGTTCCAAACTGATATGTCCAGCTCTCTTGTTGCGCCTGCAAAGAGCACTTAAGAAAAAGGTGAATCACTGCATGAATAAAATGCATGTGGAAACAACATCATGTTTGCATTTGGTTAGAATGTTTTCCCACCATTGGTCACAGTGGCAGACAATGGCATCATCCTTAGGCATATACGTATAGACAACAAAGTTTTGGCATTTACAAATAGAATAAATCAGAACATGTTGTCTCGTCTACATTAAATGTAGGCAGAATTTGCACCACCTTTGGATATCCTCACGTGGCGCTGTCCCCACACGAAAGGTTGTCCCATGTTAAGCAGGGATGTTTGGATTCCCCGAAGGCAAAATTATAACATTAACAAATACGTACATACACACATACACACATACACACAAACACACATACAGACATACATACATTGCATTGCATTGCATTGCATTGCATTGCATTACATTACATTACATTACATTATATACATTACATTACATTACATTACATTACATTACATTACATTACATTACATTTCATATATATATATATACACATATAATCACATTTATATGTATATATATAAGGAAACTGTAAAATTGGTTTGATTTGTTCGGTATTAAAAAACAATCAGGGATCTTTCAGCCTCAACAATGCAGCTATTGATCCACAGCAACAGGCATGCAAAAGCAACACTCACCATTGCAGATTCTTGCGGCATGTCAGCGCCAATTTTGCCACACCGTGGAAGATATAGACAACCAGAAAAGGGTTGGAATTCATGGTGTTGCAATCACAGGTGAAGAAAGTCAACAATAATAAAGTAATGTGTTTCTTTCACAGCCATGCGTACTGTTCTCCAACAGAAATGATCAATTTGTTTGTGATTCCCTGCTTCACCATAAATGCAAATTTAGCACGTTCGAGCGCAAAAGCGAGCACACACGTTCAAACACTCGTTCCAAAATAACAAAATACGAGGATCGTTTAATCCAAAGGTTTTGCTATGCAAATGTCATTTCGTTTTAGTTTTCAACGAAAATCACAACAAAATGCAGACCATCGATTGCCGTGGCGTTGTGCCACCCAAACATTACCCAAAAACTCATCAAGGGAAAACATTGGTTAGTGTGAAAGGATTCAAATCGACCGTGTTGATTCAAGAACGGATTTCAACTGCAAATGAAGGTTCAATTGCAAATTCCGACAAAAACATAAACAAAATTTGAACCAAAATCAATTATGCAATGTTGGTACGCGCCTGATTTTTTACGAATTCCTTTGGGTTGCTTGCGTTCTGCACACTCGGTCTACTCACCGAGATGTATTGGCCAAATTTAGCCAAAAACGCACATGGACAATGGCCCGAAAAAAGGGATGGCATACTGTGCTGCACAGGATTACGTTCAGGTTGTTAAGTTTCCGCGCGTTTTCTCGAATCACAGCAATCTGGCAACACGGCCACAACAAAAACACGAACTGAAGCTGGGCAAATTCCCTCTGAGTTGGGCCCGCGCAGAGCATTTATTGGATGCACAGGGGTTTCTGCGGCAGGAACAGAAAGTAAATGTGGAAACTGGATCCCAAGATTTTTCTGGGGGTTGCGGGTCTCCCCCGTTTGTTTAATACACAGCGGCATTTTTTGAGAGTTGTGTCCTTCCACACTTGGTTGGCGGTTTGCGGGGAGCAATATATTACATCCCACTATTATAGAAAATATTCGGGATTGTCCAGGAACCGATCTTCTTTTGAAACAGGTTTGGAAACACGTCCAAACCAATTTCAAGTACAAGACAAACTAATTCAGAGACCCAACATGGGAGAACATCCAAGATTTTGAATTACTTGTTGCAACATGTTTTTTTTTGTGGGGTCGCCGGGGGGTCCTCAATTAATATGTTCTGTTTGAAACCAATTTGGACCAACACAAAGGTGGATCATCCATCCCCATATATATATATTCTATTTGAAAGTGGTTTGTCACCAGATTCTATTTTCAGAATTCGGGGTTGGTATGATCAATATCTGCATTGTTTTGAAATTGACTCCAGGATCCCTCGTGGGTGTAAATCCCGATTTTCCACCATTGCGTGCAAAATCTGGTGTTTGAGTTTTTCCCAATTGATCCGATTGCATTTCAATTAGAAAATATTCAAGTATATTTTTCTGAATATTCTTGCGCCGCCCAGATTCTCCATTTTGCTTGCCAAACTCCGAATGTTTTGAAGGTTTTCCAAGGGCATTTCACGAGTAAAAAAAATATTCCAATCGATTGTTCTTGCGCGACCCCCAACAGCCCAGATTATCCAATTCATGTGCAAAACATTGTGTTTTCACGTTTTCCCAAAGGCATTTCACAATTATATAAGTAAAATATTCCGATAATCCATTGTTGTTGCACGACCCCCAACAGGCCAGATTGTCCATTTTTTGTGCAAGACCGAGTGTTTCCAGGTTTTTTCAAAGGCTGCTGTTTTGAGGTTTTTCTAAAAACATTTCAAACACAAAATAGTTATTTGCTAAGAATCGGGCAGCACTCAGAGCATTTGTTTTGAACCGCTAAAAGGGCCTCAAGTACATGACAATTCTGTCATGGAATGACATGTGAAAACTTGTTACACTTCTCGATTCTGTGACTGTCGTTCTCTCGATTTGTGCGTGTCATCACTGGAATGAGTGCATCTGAAACATTTTCGCACTCCTCCTCTGGCATCTGTAGCTTCAGCTCTGATTCCAGCTGTACGCACGAAATTCCCTTAGGGATTGAAAGAAAGAAAAACTTTCCACAAATCAAGCTTCGGGTTTTGAGGATTGCCCGGAATCCTTTGTCATTTCAACCTTGAACCGTTTCTCAGCTAATTCACTGAGAAACCATCCATAGCTGTTTCTGTACGCATTTCACCCCAAAAGGAGTCTGAAATCTTCCACATAGTTTCTGTAAACTTCGCTGTTGTTTCATCTCCACGATTTCTTGCCTTTCGGTAAAGGCGTTGAAAACCATTTTGGACATTGGTTGCAAGTTCAGATGTCAGTCCACTTCGCTGCTCTGTCGCTTCCAAAACAGCCAAGACCAAAGTCTGAACTTCTGCTGCATCCTCAAAACGGTTTTCCTCCAAACTTCTGTTGATCACACATCGCAAATTCCGAAGAAGTTTGGTTAAATTTCCTTCTTCTCTTTCTGGTTCCACTTCAACTTCAACTGTTTCCATTGTTTCATCCTCAGTCTGTCGCTCTTCTTCTCCTTGTTCATTGGGCTCCATTGCATCTTCCATTGACCTTGAGAGATTCGATCCTGCAGGGGCATCTGTATTGTCTGGTGCACGCTGCTGCATATTGTGAAGAACCATGTTGGCTCTCTCCTGCACCAGCATCGACTCACGTTGTTGTCTCGAAAGAGTTGCGAATCGAACAAAACCCCCATGCTCAACAAGTCCATAGTGAACTGTTGTAATCAAATCCTCCATCACTGATGTCTCCATCTCGTACTGGTTCACATGAGCTCGAAGATCATTGTCTACTCTCTCAACTCGGCGTCTGGTGTCATCCAAGCTATCTCTCTGTGCACCCATGAAGGTGTCTGTCTGCGCTTGCTGAAGCTCATTGTTGTAGATCCTTTTGTCAAGCTTTCTCCAAAACAGAAATGCTGCCACGCCAAAAACTATCCAAGCCAAACCAAGCATCGCAACGCACATCCAAATCCAGAAATTCTCTTCATTGTCTTTCTGAACTTCCAAAGGACAAAACTCCTCCTGCGTCTCCATTGCTGCCACATTGGTAGGCTCAAGGCCCAAAAGAGTGCTCATGCGCATAATGGCTTTTGCAAGCTTGGAAACATTTCTGCTCGTGGTCGCGTTGTTTTGCATCTCGTCTCTTTCAAGTTCTCCAACATGTTGTTGACCTTCTGAATCCATCATCCCAATTTCACACATGAGAGCTCGAAGTCGTTTCTTCGATAAAGCTTTGGTCCCGATGTCACTTGTGTTCCATATTGTGGGTATCTGGATCAGCAAGACTTCGTTGTCCTTGATCTTTGACTGAACCCACAAAATTTTTCCACTCAGATGGCGGATCTTTCCGCAACCTTGCCTACTCAGCAACTGTCTCGCTGATGAGCTGTCTGTAAACTGCACTTGCATCACTTGACCTTCCAACAAAAATTCCAAACACCTACGTATGTATATGGCATCGCACATGGAACTGACTATGGAGTAAAGCTCGCTTTCGCAAGAAGAAAGTGCAATGGTTCGCTGGGTTCTCGAAGTTCCCATCGAGAAACATCCATTGAGAAAGTGAAGTCCGCAGCTCGTTGATCTGCGGTGCTCGCGGTTTGACATCCAATCCGCATCACAAAAGGTTTCGATCACCCAACTTTTCTCTGTAGTTGTTTTCCACTTTCCTTTCCCTGGCGTAGGGCATTGCAACTTCACTCCAAGTTCTCCAGTGCCTTTGAGGTATCCTACCAACTTTCGCAGATGTTGTAAGGAAGTACATGTTGGCTTTGACATCTTGCTTGCCAATTCTTTGATTGCAAAAACCACATCCGGTCTATCTCTTCCCAAGTATAGGCACATGCCTACTATTGAGCGAAATTTGCTGGAGTCGCTCGGGGTCAAACACTGAGAAACATCTTCAAGTTGTATTGAAGAGTCGCAAGGTACTGCTTGAATCCTTGCTGGACCAAACTCGGTTTCAAACGCTTCCACAATTCTTTCTGTATTTGTGCCAGGAACCAAAAGTATTCCATCTTTCAACCTCACCATCTTCTTCTTCAAAAAGCTAATGCTTGAACCAACATCTTTCAGCAAAGCATAACTCGTTGAAAAACGCTTTTGACACTTTTCCAGAAAAACCTTGTGGAAATATTCACCATTGCCGCAAAACAAAACATCATCCACATGAAGCAAAACAATGCCTTCTGGTGTCTTTGCAAGACATGGTTGTATGTCGCACCATGAAAATCCTAACTCATCTGTCAAAAACTGCCGAAAATGCCAATACCACTCTCTGGCTCCTTGTCGTTGGCCAGGCAAATTCTTCAGGATTACATATGAGACACCATGTAGGTCAACTTGAATTGGATCTTTCTGCGGCACCTGCAAAAACGCATCTTTGATGTCAAGGGAGCAAAGCACTGGGGCATACTTGGCGCTCATGCCCTCTGTCTCAACTTCTTTCTGCAGAAAAAGAACTGGCAACAGGTTTGAAGTGTGTGCACCTGTCGCTGGAGAGTATGTGTCATCTCTCTTGTCAACTGCGAACTCCCTTGCTACCAGTCTGCTGCGTCTCATCCACCGCTCTCGGCTTTGACCCTCACAAACATACAACTTTCGTCGCCAATCACGCACCATCTTTGTTGTGAGCTGACCCTTGACTTCATCTTTGAACTCCGATGCCTGCACCAGCACCTTCATCTCAAGCAACCTACTGATTTCCACTTGGTCAGCAAGCTTGTCCACCCATTCCGGCTGAATGAGTCCCATTGGAGCTGCAAAAGAAACTGAACGTGGGTTAGCTTTGCGTTTTGTTGGCACTACACGCCCACCAAAGCCTACCTTGTACTGCCAGCTGTAGAGGTTGAACTGCTTGTACAAGGCCATATGACTGATCCAGTCTGTCTTCACTCTGCGCACTGACCTCGTCAAGATGAGGGAACTTCCAGTATACAGCAGATAGCTGTCCTGCCCCTCAACTTTGCCAAGGAAAATCATCCTTCGCCATCGTGGATTTCCCTTCAACGCTGTTCTTGCAAAACCGTAC